CTTGTATACTGCACATATAATCAACGAGTCATAGTACGTGTACTGTGCAGTATATTGGATGATTTGTGCAAGACTCCGGACATTGTTATGCAATTAATACAGTGTTGTGCACAAACAATAAAACTATTGTATACCCCTGATGTGTCTGACCCCTATACGTGTTTATGTCTTAGACATACATATTCTGTTAGATTACTATATGTGTTTGAGTGTTTGACATCCAACTTATGTGTTTGACATACTGTGTTTATATATATATTTTTTTTCACCTGATATATTCCTCTTCTTATATTAATTATATAATGTTCACTCTCCACATATATGATGTGCATTACTTTATATACAATGGTGCCATATTATGAACATATTGAATGCAACCACAGGGACACCGTCAACATATACGGGTCGTCAGCAGATATCAACCACTCCTGGTGGAACTAGATATTGGACACCACATTGCGATGATCCCCTTAAACCTTATAAAGGGCAAAAGTTCCAAACGCTGAATGATGCAGTAATCTTTTATAAAGCGTATGCGTATGCTGTTGGGTTTGATGTACGGCATAGCACGTTGATCAAAGCACGTGATAATAAGACTATACTTTGGAAGTATCTGGTATGCTCACGAGAGGGTTATAAACGCAATACACGTGTTGACCATTCAAACCCACCCGATGGACACATAAGAAGGAGACGAGTATCCAACCGCGTGGGTTGTGTTGCGAGGATAGTGCTGCGTGTAGATGGGCTCAGTGGGTATGTGGTCAGCTCTTTCGAGGATAGACATAACCACTCGATGACTTCTGAAGAATGCAGACAACGTCTCAAAATCAACAGAACAATGAATGCGGGACATCAAAGTTTTGTTTTGAATTGTATAAAGGCAAACATTGGGCCTGTCAAATCACACAGGCTGTACAAAGAATTTGTGGGAGGATATTCTGGTATTGGTGCGACCAGCACGGATTTCAAGAACTTCAAACGTGATCTCAGTGCTTACATTTCAGGAGCAGATGCCCATTTGGTTATCGACAAGTTCTGTAAGAGACAAGAGCATAGCGCCGCTTTTTACTTTCGTTACGAAGTAGACGACGGTGAATGCTTGCGACGACTTTTCTGGGCAGATCCAATCTCGAGGCGGAATTATGGATCATTCGGGGACGTCGTGACATTTGATGCCACGTATAACACCAACAAGTAACTTACACATTCTAGATGCGAAAAATATACTACCATATTGCACATTACATAAATACAGAATGAATATAATATCATACAAGGATGAACCTTATGTTAACACCTGATGGTTATCTTTACAGATACAACATGGTGTTTGCTCCTTTCACCGGAATCGATAACCATAACAAATGTGTTACTTTTGCGGCAGCTTTGATATCAAAGGAGGACGTGGGTTCTTATGTTTGGGTGTTCGAAAATTTCAAAGCCGCTATGATTCAAGAGCCAGAGTATATTGTCACAGACCAAGATCCCTCAATTGGAATCGCCTTTTCTAAGGTATTTAACACGTCAAAGCATCGTTTTTGCATGTGGCACATAATGAAAAAATTATCTGATAAGGTAGGGCATCATTTGCATAACGAGGGTGCTTTCAAATCCAAACTTAGTGAACTTGTTTGGAACCGAACAATAGATCCGCCAGAATTTGAGACGAGGTGGACTGAACTCATGTGTGAATATGAATTGGAATCCCACAGTTGGTTTGTTGATTTATATGCAAAACGGGAACTTTGGATTCCGGCATTCTTTAGAAGTGTTAAAATGAGCGGGCTAATGAGAACCACGTCCAGGTCGGAGAGTGAGAACAACTGGTTCGGATATTTCATGAACAATCACGCTAGCCTTGTCGAATTCTTTCTACACTTTGACAGTGCAATGGATGCGCAACGAAACACATCAATGAAGTTGCAAGCGGACAGTGAAACACACTTAGCTATCTTGAAAACTCCATTGGCTATTGAAAAACATGCTCTGAACGTATATACCACTACCATCTTCTATCTTGTTCAGGATGAAATATGTGCAGCCTGTTTCAATTGTCGCGTTATGGACTTCTCGGATGACGATGGACAGATGAAATTCGAAATCAGAGATACTAATGGCAAGACGTTCACTGTGTTATACAACGCGAGTCTGAAATCAGCCACTTGTTCATGCAAGCATTTTGAACTGCATGGGTGGCCATGCAGACACATATTCGTTGTATTGAAGGACGTGAACGCTGAAGTTATACCGAGTGCACATACTATATCAAGATGGACGAAAATGGCCATTTTGAACCCAATGTTCTGCATTGTTGATGGTATAACTGAACAATGTGCTCAAATTGATGATAGAAAACTCATGGTGAATAAATTGTGGTCTGACATACATCTATGCATGGGACTGGTCGAGCCATCCATGGACCGCCTTGTCGAGTTTTCAAGAATTATTGTAAACCACAAGCACAAGTTGGTGACTGAACAGGAGGATGTGTCGGCCTGGACGAAAGAGCGTCGATTTGAAACATTTGTCGGCACGTCTGTCCCTCTGGAGGTGAACATACACACTCCGGCCAAATCAAAAAACAAGGGCAGCGGGAAAAGGATTAAAAGCGGAAAAAAGGAAGCGATCGAAAAATCCATAAAAAAGAGACGTATATGCAAGACATGCGGTGAGAGGGCAGGTCACAATGCCCGGACGTGCCTCAAGAAACAATGATGGTATGATTCGTAATACATTCTCGTACCACCAATAACTCTGTTCATGCATCATTCTGTTATTGTTTTAGTTAATGAATCATTAAGTTGAGGTACCAGCATGTTTTGCATATTTCACTAATATACATATTTAATCGCACGCAGACAATGGGAGCCAGTGTGGGTCGATGGAGATACTGGAAGATTCAATGTTGCACTTAGCTCGCACATTGAAGACTATATGCATTTTAGATGCCATATTATTTAGTGTTTTTTTTTTTTTTTGTGATAGTATCATGTTGCTACAAACGATGTTAATTGTTTATCCAACTCTATAATGGTTTTATTATTATTATTTTTATTGTTATTATTATTATTATTATTATTATTATTATTATTATTATTATTATTATTATTATTATTATTATTAGTCTGTTGTTGTATGTCTGATGCATATCGATCAATGCACATTATTGTCTGAGACATAGCACGTTAATTTAAACTCCATTGCACGTTAAGAACCAGTATGATTACATGACTATCTGTCACGAGCATATATTATCACATAAATGTTGCGTGTTCATATGTATATTGTAGTACAATGTCATATTTTATGACAACATGCACATTAAAGGACCTTAAGAACAAAACAACAACAACAAAAAAAAAAAAA